CTTAGCTGCTATGGGAAATGGATGCAGTGACAGGAGATAGGGAGCAAGAAGTCCCAGTGGGCCCGCCCATGGCTAGAAAAGGGTGTCTGTATGTGTATATCCTATATTCTTGTCATTGTTTCTAATCATTTATTTAATTTAATCTTGGCTCCCCAATGCTGGGTGCCACCAAACCTTTCCAGGAGGAGGAGGAGGACACAACCTTCATGCAATGACACATCGTGGGGTGGGTCTGCAGATCCCCCTGCGTTTCTTTGGAGCTGTGATTAAAAGGTGCTCCTGGGGTGATTTCGGATGTTCTGTTGGGAGTGCTTTCCTTTGAAAGCAGCACTGCTTTCCATCCTTTGTTATCAAGAGCAAGGACCTTGAGCTGATGTTTCTTGAATGTAGTTACCGTGGAGAACTGGCCTGGGGGATTGGTGCTGCAGTCACATAAAGGATGATGTACAGGGCTTTCTTCAAAGCCTGCCGCCACAGGGGAGGCTGTGATACCTGTGTTGGAGCCTGGGGCAGCAGCAGGCTGTGTCTCATTGCTGAGTTTAGAAAGAGTGATGATGCTATCCCATACGGCTTGCAAACTGTCTCCTTTCTGTTGGTGAGCCAGAATGCTTACAGCTGGAGATTGGCAATTTCAAAGGGCAGAGTTCATGGCACAGTGAGGTTACTTCTCCTACCAGCCTGGCTGTTCACACTGGTGCTCGTACCTCAAACGCATGGCACCGTCTGGGTGAGCTCCAGAACCATGGAGATGCCGCAGTGAGGAACGGTGGGCATGGAAGGGTTGGGCTGGGGTTGGACCTGGGGCTCTGAGAGGCCTTTTCCAACCTCAGTGGATTCCATAGGTTCTTATTTATTCAGGTACATTTCATTATTCTTCATGACATTACCTTCTGGCTGGCTTACAGAGGCAACAGCCCTTGTCCTGCCCCATGGTGCCGCAGCAGCTCTGCAGCCCCCAGAGGAGCAGCTGTGCTGGGGGCTGAGAGCTGCCGAGGTGTGGGGAGGAGCACAAAGCACTTGTCAGTGCAACACATCGAACTGCTGCCATCCGCTTCTCTGCCAAAGAATTCCCATCTGCAGGCTTTGGATTTTATTTCAGAGGGGCAGCCTTCCTGTGTCGGCCATGGTGCCTGGCAGGAAGCTGATGGCTTGCACTGGAGCTGCTTGAAGCGTGCATTCCTGGGCCTTGGGCTGCTTTCGGAGATAAGGCCTCGTGTTTCTGCAGCAGGGAACGGGGTTCTCAGGAAAGGAACTTTCCTTTGTGGTGATTTCCAACATGCTGGTGTTTCTTAGGCTGCAGAGCTTTTTGCTAAGAGCAGAATAACGGGGATAAACAGAGCACTGCTGCGTTCTCTTCCTACCTATTTCTAAGCAACTGTTAGCAAAAGATCAGCGTAGAGACAGAAGAGACATCTTCCATTGCTCCTCAGCGTGCTGCTTTGGTTAGATTTTGTGCAGAGTTCTTAGAAAGCTCGTTGCCAGCCTGCTTAGCAGCCGGGGAGATCGGTGCCGTTGGCTGAAAGCTGTCCCCCTGGCACCAGGCTGAGCTCACACAGGGCAGGATGCGCGCTCCCCTGCTGCAGCAGCCGTCGGGACATCCTGTCTAGACCTCACGGGGAATGCTGCCTTGTACAAGGCACTGAGCGATGCAAAAAGGAGGAGGTGAGCAGAGCACAAATTCCTACACTGGAGAGAATCGTGCTCTGAAACGGCTATGGAGCAATAAACGCAGATGCTTTGGGAAGTGGCTGTTGGTCATCTGCTGGCTTTCGAGTTCATACGCAGAAAATGCAGCTATTTGCACCCGGAGAGTGAATGAGTGCCAAAGAGCCAGAGGGCCGAGTGCAGTTTCCAAAGGTGTCTGGTCTCTGCCCGAATGCAGCACAGCATGCTGAGTGGGTACAAAATGACCCAGAAAAAAATTGAAACCCAAGGTTTTATGTTTCCTTCCCCTTTCCTCTTGGGTGCAGAGGGATGCATTTTGCTTTTTTACAGAGATGTGTGCTTAGATACACCGGTAGGAGACAGGGATTTGGCTTCCACTGCGCTGGCTGTGGTCCAGCATGAGCAATATTTGTGATCAGAGATGTCAGTAAAATCACAGTGAAAAGAGATGCTGCTGACTCAGTTGTGCTGCGGCTCCTGAACCGCGCTCTGACTCAGCCTGTGAAATTCAGGATTTTTTCATTAACCCCCAGTGGCCGAGGGGAGGCTGAGCAGGAGATGACGCACTTTGAACAGCGCTGGGATGCAGCTTACAGGTGTGGGTGTGGGGCAGCAGAGGTTGAATGCTCCCGGGTACCCTGGGGGGGTGCACTGCTCTGACGTGCAGTGATGGAACCAACCTAAGGGCCCTTAATTGTGGAGAGATCGATGAGACCACGTGTGTCCCCTCAGCGCCACCCCATCGCCGTGTGTTTCCTCCAGCTGCTTTCTGCCTTTGCTTGCTGGGAGCTGCGTGGTGGGAGCATTGCTGCCTTGGGAACTGCTCCCACGCAGCGGCCGGGCTCCCGCTGCTCCTAATGGAGGAGCAATTTGTGGCTGTGCTGTGGAGACTGCTGGGCTCCATGGGCTGGGAAAGGGCTGTGGAAAGGGGCTCAGAATGGCAAATTCCTTGTGACTGGGCTAAAACACACTGCGTGGGGGCTGCACTGCCATGGGAGATCTCACAAACTGAAAGAGGTTTGTAGTTACAGATCTTACTTAATAGAGAAAGGAAAATGCATCCCACACCTCCTGCTCTGTGACAGTGTCCTGGGCGTGGGCAGCACCATGCCTTGCACTCATTAAGGAGAGGGCAAAGCTGGGAACAGGGGTTCCACAGTCCAGGTAAGAAGCCAGAGCAGAGCTCCTGTTCTTCCTGCAACCCTTGGGGATGAGTGGCAGCTACACACAGCAGAACCCCCACCTCATCCTGCTCCCTGGTGGCTCCAGCTGCCCTCCATGCCCACATTTGGCTCTGCATGCTAGCGGCTGTTGAAGTGGTTTGGAGCCTGGGCAAACACTTCCTGCTCCATACCCTGAAGATCTCAATGCGACAGCAGCCCGGAGTCAGGGATGAAGCACTGGATGTTGTCCTGATGTTTGCAGAGCACTGCATTTCTCCATGCAGCTGCAGAAAGCCCACAAGCTGTCGTCCTGCACCACTGCGTGCACCCTGGCTTCCAACCTCACTGCACCTTCCCTTGTCAAACCTCACCCTGATCAGTGCTTGGGGCAAGGAACAGCCCATGTGCCACCAGGCACAGCCGTGCTTCCAGGTGGATGCACAGGCGCAGTGCTGCAGAGGACAGCTGTCTGCAGCAGGGCAGAATCAACATCCCAGGGTGCTGCATCCTCACGGGAACGCGTTCTCCACGTGCACGCTCAGCCCAGCACCCACACAGCACTCAGCAGGACTGTGGGGGTGTGCAGTGTGTGACTCAGGCTCAGAACGCTCTGTCACAGCGCGGCTCTGCCTTGCGCTGCTGTTGCCGACTTTCCAGCAGAGTGCTGCTCTACCTGCTGCGAGCATCGAGGGAACAAAAGCTGCCACCAAACCGAGAGAAATGCTTTTGTAATTTTAGAAATGGAACTGCTGTGCAAACAATACTCCAAAGTGCTCCACAGCAGTGGTGCGAGGTTAATGCTGCAGGATGGGGACGGCGCGCTGCGGTGCAGGGATCTGGCTCTGGCCGTGGGCAGGGCAGGAAGAAGCAGGGCACATCAGCACTGCTCCCTGTGTGTGCAGGAAGGATCTGGGCCCCTGCCTGGAGGTCGCTGGGTGCTTGCCAGACGCTTGAGGCTTGGTACAGTGTTTGCTAAAGCCAACCACGGCCAAGTAAAATAGAGGTTTTGCCATCGGTCCTTTTGCCGTGCGCTGAAATGTTCCTTGTGCTTTCCCTGCTGATCCATAGAGATGCCTTGGATGCTGGTATTGCCGTTTCTGCTTGGGCTGCCACTGTCACAGCTACATGAAGCCAGGTGCAGCTTGTAAATTTTAAGACCGAAGAATGTGAAGCAGGAGAGTGGGGCTTAATAGAAGATGGAAGGATGATGCAAAGTTGGGAAGAGTGTTTGACCCAGCAGAAGGCTGTGCTGCCATTCAGCGAGAGCTGGGTAGGCTGAGAGCTGGGCAGAGAGGAACCTGATGAGGTTCAACAAGAGCAAGTGCAGGGTCTTGCAGCTGGGGAGGAACAACCACGTACATCAGAACAGGTTGAGGGCTGAGCTGCTGGAAAGGAGCTCTGTGGAGGGGGACCCAGGTGTCCCAGTGGCCAGCAGGCGGCTGTGTGCCAGCAGTGTGCCCAGACCAGGTCAGGGGGTGAAGCAGGTGAGTTCTCCAGGACGGACATGGATTTGCTGTGCTGTCAGGATGTGCTGGTGTCAGGGAAAGCTGTTGTTTCCTGTTGTTTCCTGTTTCCACATCCTACACTGGGAGCTGTGTGCTGCACTGCTGCCTTCCTGCAGGTCCCAGCAGCTCTGGGCAAAGGAGCCATGCTTCCTTCTGCAGTGCAGCAGAGCAGTGCCCCTTTGGATTCACAGCAATGCTCTAACATGTGGGCAAGTGTGCACAAAGAACACAAGGGTTACTTTTCAGAGAAACCCACATTTTTAGGGAAAATGCTACCTAGATAGCAGGTCTCTCTGCGCTTAGAGTGCCTTTTCCTGGGGAAAGGGTTAGAATTTCTTGGAACATGAGCGATGTTCAAGCCTGGGGTGTAAAGCTCTTGCAGCACAATGTGGGAGGCAGCTGTGGGCTCTCATTTATCCCTGCTTGTGCCAGGATGGAAGGTTTGGGCAAAATATTGAGAATAGCTCACCTGCTCCCTAACCCCATCCCACAGCTCCATCTCTCCCAGCAGGATCTCAGCACCCCCACGTCTCTCCTGGCAACAGCAAGGAGGGGAGAGGAGGGACTGACCATTGCTGCCGGCAGCACCGCTGTGCTCAGCCTTGCTGGAGCTGGTTATTTTTAGGGCCGGAGCTGTGCATGACCGTTGGTTGACCTTGCAGCTCTCCAGCTTGGTGCACACTGGCAGGATCTGAGCAAATCACTCCCCGGCTGTGTGCTGAATTAATGCAAACTTTGCGCCTTGCACTGCAACACCACAATGGATGGGAGAGGAGGCTCAGGGAAGGTTTGCTCTTTATAACTACTTATTGCTCTTTTTAACTACTAAAGGGAGGTTGTAGTGAGCTGGAGGTCGGCCTCTTGCGTAACTAGTGATAGAACTAGAGGGAACTGCTTCAAGCTGCACCAGGGGAGATTTAGGCTGGATGTTAGGAAGTACTATTTTTCTGTAAGAGTGGTCAGGCACTGGAATGGGATGTGGTGGAGTCACCGACCCTGGAGGTGTTCAAGGAACGGTTGGATTTTGTGTTGAGGGACGTGGTTTAGTGAGTACCATCGGTGACAGATGTATGGTTGAACTGGATGATCTCAAAGGTCTTTCCAAACTTCGGTGATTCTGTGATTCTGTGAGAGATCACATTGGAGATGCACTGGATACCTGCAGGATGGCTGCAGATCCTGAAGGAAACAATCTGCAGATTGTTTTCTGAAGGAGGGGCTCCCCGTGCAGCCCATGGCTGGGTCTGATGGGCGGCTTGGAACCCAGCAATGCTGGGGTTGGACACAACGATCCCTATGGGCCCCTTCCGCCTCGGGCTGCCCTATGATTCCATGCTGCCTTTAAGCCCCGTGTCCTCACCCTTCATTTCCTCCCACCTCAATCTCAGGCCTCGTGCACTTCCCCTACTGGTGGGGCGCCTGAGGAACCTCACAGACCACACAGAGCACTGCAGATTAATGCAAGAAATAATGATATGGCTTAAAGCAGGAAAACAAAACCCCACAGCTTGGTGCTCCAGCATAAAGGATACAGGCAAGGAGCAGAAGCAGTTCAGATTTGCTCTTCAGTGTCTCCTCGTGTCCCATTTTAATGCTGAAAACCCGAGGGTTTATTTGCCTTGGGGTTCCTCCGCTCCCTCGTGGGTGCTCACGAGGTATCAACCGTGGGCCCACAGCGCGACGGAGCTCGGAAAGGGGCGCCGAGATGCCGCACGGCGGCCTTCAGCCGCTGAGGGAGTGAGGGCGGGCGGGCACCGCGCGTGGCGCTTCACGGCCCTGCGGTTTCCACGGCAACAGCGCGGTGCCAAGATGGCGGCGGGGCGGGAAGTGTGCGTGTGGGGGGGGGGAGCGGGCAAGATGGCGGCGGTGGGCGGGGCGGGGCGGAGCGCGGCGGGCGGGCTCGATGGCGGCGGAGGCTGCGCACACGTGGCCCCTCCTCCCTCCCTCCCTCGGGCTGCGGGCGCTGCGGGCGCGCACGGACCGGCACCGGCGGCGGCACCGGCGACATGGGCGTGCACGTGGAGACCATCGCCCCTGGGGATGGTGAGCCGCGCCCCGCGCTCCTTCTGTCTTTATTCCCCCCCCTTCCTTTTCTTTCTCTCTCTCTCTCCGGTGCCGCTCCGCTGACGGTGCGAGTCTCCTTCCCGCAGGGCGGACGTTCCCCAAGCGCGGCCAGACGTGCGTGGTGCATTACACGGGTGAGTGCGGGGCTGTGCGGGCGGGGCCGGGCCGGGCCGGGCCGGTACCGGGAGGCGGGGCGGGATCTGCCCCGACGCCGCCGTGCGGCCTGCGGGAGCGCGGGCCGGGGATGGAGGGCCGGGCCTCGGCTGCCCCCGAGGCGCGAGCGGGGGTCGGCGCGGGGCCGGGGGTCGGGGTGGGGTCGGTGCCTCCCCGGGTTGGGGTGGGGGTCCCCGAGGTCGGCCCGGGGTGGTGGGCCGAGCCCTCCCCGCGTCCGACCCTCGGTGCGCGGCGACGGGCTGAGATTAGCCCCGCTGGGACTTTCCTACGGCCCCACCGGGGAGGGGGCGGTAGGGAAGCGGCCCGTCCCCGTGCCCCCGTTCGGTGGCTGCCGCTGAGGCTGACGGCGCGGTGCCGCGGGGTTCCCCACCCAGCAGCCCTCCTCCGACGTGCTCCGAGCCGCCCGGGTTCGCACGCAGCCAGGTGGGTGACGTTCCGCACGTTGTGTGCTCGGAGCTCCGCGATGTGAGCTGACACGGCCGCACACACGCACACCCATCAGCCGCCCCTGCTGCTCGCTGCAGCCCTCCAGGATGCAGCGGCTGACCCGCCTGTCCCCGCCACCGGCCGGCTCCTGCTCTCCCAGCAGCACAGGGTGAGGTGCCGGTCTGCTCAGGAGCCCCCAAAGCCCCGCTCCCGCAGCGCTGTCTGAGCTCTCCCTCCAACCCATCTGCTTCTCCTCCCCCCGCCCCCTCTTCCCTTCCCCATCCCTTTTAATTCCCTGCTCCGGAGGAGAGGAAGCGGCTCGCTCTCTCCTGGCCACCTCCTCTGCCGGCAACCCGTTTCCTCTGCCGGGGGAAGAACAAAGGGACGCTGGCAGGCAGTCAAGTGGCTCTTGGTGGGCCAACCCTGCTGCTGCCAGCCCTGCTCCCACCCCAGCAAAAGGGCACGGCTGCTCCTTGCCTCATTGCAGCTGCTGGGGGGGGGGGGGGTCGCTGGGGCTGATTTCCAGCCCCCCGCTTTGCTTTTGGGGTGGGAGGGTGAAGGGCAGTGCAGGGACCTGCCTCTTGCCGGACCCTTCCCGGCAGCAGTGAGCGACAAGCTGGCCTTGGGAGTGGTTCTCTGATTTATTTTGGTATTGTTTGTTGTTGTTATTGTCTCCTTTTGGCCTTTAGCCCCCTCTCCCCCCGCCTCCCATCAGACAGCTCCCTGATCTGTTCTGTTGGCAAGCAGCTGAAGTCAAAGCCCCCGGTTTACACCTAATGCCCATAGGCCCTGATCCCCTGCTTTTAGCTGTGAGCAGAGAGGGGAATTTTGCTCCCTCAAAAAAAAAAAAATACAAGAAACCATTACTTTCCCCTGGCCCTGAGGCTTGTTCATTGAATACATACTGCAGTGACAGCAGTAACAGTGCGGTGCATTCAGTGCTGGGCTCAGGGGCTCCATCATGAGCCCCGTGTGCCATCCAGCCCCGTGGCTGCAGTTTGCTCTGTGCAGAAACCCAGTGCTGGAGAAACCCAGCCCCAGTTTGGGAGCACTGAGCACAGTGAGCTCTAATGGGTGAGCTATAGATTTGCAGTCACTTGATCAAAATCCATTTTGCACCTCTTGCCCGAAGAATCCTTTCCTCCCTACGTGCTCCATGTCTGCTTGTTTAGTTAGAACAGGCATAGAGCAGGTGCTGGATGTGCGTCCCCTTGCCCCACAGCCCACATGTCCTACCCATGTGCAGCTTTTCTGCCCCACTGCAGCACTGCCCAGCACCAGCTAGAGCAGCCGTGTCACCCCAGCACTGTAAAGGATGGACAGATGGATGCATGGGCAGGCAGCCCTGGTGTGGGAGCACAAGAGGGCAGTGCTTAGAGAAGAAGGTGGAGAGCATAGCATCCTCCAGGCTGCTGCTTGGGAGGCATCAGTCGCTCATGCTGGGATTTTCCCAGTGGCAGCAGAGACACACAGGGGGGATTTGGGTCCATCCTTTCATTTTCCTTTGCTCCCAGGTCAGACAGGGAAAAAATCCTCAGCAGTGCTTTGGGTGTGTCGGTGCTCCCAGTGGGAGCTGAGCCCCCAGGGGAATGGAAGAGCACTGCTGGAGAGCTGGCGCAGCGGGGCGTTGGGAAAAGGCTTTGATGTGAGGTCTGATGGAAAAGGTTCTTAAGGAAACTAAATCAAGGGTAAATTCCTCTTATGTATTCAGGACTGCTCAGAGCAATGGGAGGATGGCTTCGAAGTGCAGAAGTGCATTGATTGTGGGTAGCAGCCCCGATGCTTCGTGCGTCAGGCTCCTTGGGGCCATGTAGCCAATTTGGAGCAGGGGTTTGTTCTTGTTCACCCTGCAGCACAGCTGGAACTGAGACCGCATCCTTCCCAGTGGTGAGAGCAGTGGGTGCGTGGGCTGTGGAGAACCACCTGGCCATGCAGCATTGCTCCTTGGGTGACCAGTGGCCATGCTGGGGGGCACCAGGACTGGAGCAGGTCTGATGTGACAAAGTGCAAGGAGAGATGCTGGAGAACTCTGACTTCCTTTGGCAGGAGAAGTGCAGTGACAGGCAGGACTCTTCCCCCAGCGCCTGCACATCGCTGTGCAGCTGAGCACAGCCTCAGCCATGGCTCAGCACAGCACGGGCTCTTCCTGCTGCCTGTGCAGCACCTAGCATTGCTCTCTAAGATGCTGCCACACTCGTATGACAGCAGCCTGCGGTTGCAAGATGTTTCCTCTCCTACCGGCTGTGCAACTGCTGAGCAGTTGGGTGAGAGCTCGGTGCCAGCTCCCCTAGCACCCAACGCTGTGCTGTGCGTGCAGCTGTGTCCTGTGGGACACTTGGCTCAGCAGAACCCTCAGTGGGAAGGGTTTCCAATGCCATCCCTTCCTTCAGCTGCAGAAGAGGGGTCCGCCTGCTCTGTCCCTGCATCTCAAGGGCTTGCATCTGAGGATGGATGGAGGGAGATTGGCTGCAGGGCTGCCTCTGTGTGTCTGCTTTCCGCTGTCTCTGCCCAGCAAGGGATCGCAGCCAAGTCATGCATTGCAGCCGGCGTCTCCCAGCCACTGCCTGCCAAGTGTGGCAGAGACCTGGCATAGCCCTGCTGCCAGCCCCAAATGGAGCCAGGGATGCTCTCTGGAGCCCCTCATCTCCTGTATCGTGCTGTGGTGGAATGGCAGCGTCCTGTCCTGGCAAGGCCCTGCATTCCCCTCACTTTGATTATTCCAAGTCACTCTGGTGTCTGTATTTCTGAGTGCCAGGAGCTGCTGCAGTGGGGTGGCTGTGCTGCAGGGTCTCCCAGCTCCACGATGCCCTGCACGGAGCTCAGACAAGCTGGGATGTGCCCTGGGCTGGCAGCTGCTCCTTGCCTTCGGCTGTTTGCAGCGTCTGGGGCTCTGCCTCTAGCCAGAGGATGCTTTGCCTTACTAATAGATTTAAGATCTTGTTATCTCCTCGCTTAGGGATGATAGGGAGGAGGAAATGGTTGCTCTTCCTTGTCCAAGGCTGGAGAAGTCTCCTGGGAGCCTTTCTGGCAGAGGAAGTTGCAGAGATGAAGATGCCATCTCAAAAGCCTCGGAGCTCTTTGTTTCACTGTTGGCATGGCTGAGCGGCACAGCATCCTGTGGCTGTGTGCTGTGCATGGGGCAAGCTCTGTGTGCTGGAGTGCAGAAGGGATTTGGGGAGGGGGTGGCCTCTGGTTTCCCCATGCAGTGTGGTAGCAGCAGCACGCCACAGTTTGTTTTCATCAAAGTGAAATCGCAGAAACTGTGGCCACAGCCTCTGCCCTTGGTGAGGCAGATCTCTGCTGCGCTGTCCTGGCTTGTTGCAGCCCAGCTTGGGAGCAGCTTGTGGTGCTGCCTGCACCCACTGTCCTTCCCTTGCCCACATCCTTGCTGCTGCTGTCCCAGTGCCAGGCAGGGCTGGGAGCAGGCTCAGCACCAAGAGGTTTACCCTGGAAGGAGGAAACAAGAAAACCCCAGATTTGCTGTTCCAAAGTCCAGGGCTGCAGGGTGAGTGGCTGAGCTGGTGCTGATGCTCGGTGTCGGGGGCCCTGCAGGGGAGATTTTTGCTTTCTGTGAGATTAAATGCTTCATTCTGCTCCCCAGAAGAAATGGGACAGTGGCCCCATTCTGTGAGCAAGCAAGCCTGGGTGCCCTGTGTTACTGCTGGCAGCACTGCTGTGCTTTGTGGTGTGATTTGAGTGTTCCATGGTGTATGGCTGAGCCCATGGGGTGATGGTGACTGCATGGGCACTGCTCAGTGCCCTCGGTACTTGTTGCTCTTGTGGAGATCCTGTGTGTTTCCCACACCCTCCATTCATCATCTCACCACGCCTGCTGCTGTCCATGCACCTTGCTCACCGCAGCACGAGCCTGGACAGCATGTCCCATGCTGTGTGTATTCCCTCGCCCCTGGGCACTGACACTGCACCCTGCTTAGGGAAAACCACTGCTGCCCGTGCGCTGCTGGACAGGGCAACGAGTTTGTTTTTCACAAAGAGAATTTTCCAACCAGAAAAACAAGTTCTTGGGCTTTTGGGGGAAGTGGAGAAGAGAGAACCGTTGGCAGCAGTTGCTCTGAAATTATAAACCCTCCAGTGCTGTTCATTAACCATGGCCAGTCTGCTGCCTGTGCCCGTCGTCAGGCTCTGTGCATCGGGTGGGCAAATCCCCAGGTACGGCGCGGCTCCCAGCGGGGCTGTGCTCCCAGCAACGTTGCTGCTCCTATAAGGCAGCTCCAGCAGTGAGATTCCCCAAGAAGGTCACGCAGGGAGCAAGGGAGGGACCACGGAGAAGGGAGGAAATTCCTCCTCGCTCGTGCTGGAGGGTTATATTTAGCCTTGTGGTTATTGGTGCTGCTGAGCCTGCACTGTGTGCTGTGGGATGAGGGCTGCCCTGGGCAGGTGTGATCCCTACTTGGCACTGTTGCTTTTGAGCACTGGCTCATGGCTGGGCATGGGCAGGCTGGCGGCCTAGGCTGCGTTCTGTGTGCTCGAGGACAGAAACCAGCCCTGGCTCACATGCTGCTGTGCAGAACGCCGGTGCTCTGGGACAGGCGAGGTGTCCCCTGGCTGCCCTCTGTCCTCGCCCGCAGGAGGGCTTCTCTCTGCATGAAGACAGCACAGAGTAGGGACGCGGTGATTCCTGCAGCTGGGAGGAGCAATGCTGCCCACTCGAGGGCTGCTCCTGCCCTGCTCTTTGCAGCAGGAGGTGCTGGTGGGGAAGCCCCCCGCTGTACAGGTGTTCTGCCAGGGCAGCTGGGAAATCCCACTGACTCAGGGCCATGTGAGCTTCTCACGGTGACCGTCACACCTGCTGGGTAACAACCTGTTCCCGTGACACGAGCCTCACTCCTCCCTCCCCTTTCTGTCCCCAGGTATGCTGGAGGATGGGAAGAAGTTTGATTCCTCCCGCGACAGGAACAAACCCTTCAAGTTCGTGATGGGCAAGCAGGAGGTGATCCGCGGCTGGGAGGAAGGAGTTGCTCAGGTGCCCGGCATCCCCCTCGTTCGTGGGGATCTGCGGTGTGGGCAGAAATCGCTGCGTGCAGCCCTTCAGTTTTCCACCCCCTCCATCATGGGAGGCGTGGGTGTGAATATCACCTTCTGCATTGCCACCTGCCAGATGGCAGGAACGGAGCAGGGCCGGGCCGAGGAACACCTACGGCACGCCGGTGACTCAGCACTGACATTTCTCTACTGAGTCACCTCTGAGCGAGCGCCGTGGGGGGCTCAGGTCCCCTGCTCCTGCTGGAGATGGCTGTGGGCACGAGGGGAGGGGGCTGGGGAGGGTGCGTGACTGCAGTGGGCTCTGTGCTGCTGGGAGCCGGCGCCCATGCTGCAGCACGGGGATGCTGCTGTCTGCAGGGGGCAGCCTGGCAGACCTAGGAATTGATTGTGAAGGTGAAGGATATCGCCAGCTCTGCTCCCTCTGCTGCATCCCTGCTCCTTTTCCAGCCTCTGCTGCCTGCCTTTCCCTGCTGATGTCCTTCCTATCTCTCGTCGGTCCCCTCTGCTTGTGCCCAGCATTGGGAAACAGCTCCGTGTTTCTCCCGCTGTCACTCACCCGCTGTTTGTGTGCATCTGACATCCTCATCTTCGTTCCTCCTCCCAGATGAGCGTTGGTCAGAGGGCGAAGATGACCATCTCCCCAGATTACGCCTATGGCTCCACTGGCCACCCAGGGATCATCCCACCAAATGCCACTCTAATCTTCGACGTGGAGCTCATGAAATTGGAATGACCCACCCCAACACCCTGTCCTCGGGTAAGGAGGGCGAGCTGCAGGGCGGCTGCCGTTGAAGTGTGGGGGAGGCTCAAGGTCCCGTAGTCTGCCTCAGGGAGATGGGATGGAGGTGTAAGGGGTGTGGAGAACGGGTTTCTGGCTGTGGGCTGGATTTGGAGGCTTGCGGATTTGGGAATCGCTGTGGGATAGAAGCAGAGCTTGCAGCATGCTCGTGCCACAGAGACAGCTCGATGCTGGCTGGATGTGCCTCAGTCCTTCCCACTGCTCGTACTGTATGGGTTCTGCAGTGGGCAGGATGGTGTCCCGCTCCCCACATCAGCACAATTTGACTTCTGCTTTGAGCAGACCGTGCAGTTGGCAATGGGGCCGTCCCTTTGTGACCACATTCCTTCCTGCACCGGTCCCTGTGGGCTGCAGTGGGTGGCTGTGTCACGGTGCCTCTCCTCTCCCCAAACAGGTTTGGCACATGGAGGAATCCAGAATCTCAGCTTCAAGACGAGTGCACATGACTTTGTACGGAGCTTTTCCTGATAGTCCACTACACTCATTGTATAACCTTACACCTTGATTGAATGCCTTTGGTCACTAAGCTTTGCGTCTGACTCTTCCTCCTTGTATCGTGTTTTTATGTCTTTTTAAACTATATGCCGTAAACCTCAACTCTTTTTGGGTCAAGTTCTTAATCTTATTTTTGTTCCAGGTGTAGACTGCATTCTGTCAGTAGCACGCAGACGGGCTGACCTTAGATAGGAGTCGTTTGAACAAAAGGAAACCTGCTAGTTAGTTACTTGTTTCGGATCTCTATGATGTTTTAAAACCAGAAATTGCTGCTGCTGCAAAAGCCATAGCAGAGTGAGGCTGTTGAGGCTGAATGGATGTGGAGAACAAAGTAGTGTTAGGATGTGTGTAGTTACCTGGAATTGGGGTGCTGGGGAAGCAGCGTTCCTCTCCCTGCGCTCTGGGGGAAGCGCAGCATCACAGGGCCGCGCTGGGATGGGGGGATGCTCAGCCCCTGTCCACCCCCACCTCCTCCCTTTGTTGTCTCACTTTTGGTTTTGTGGCGGTGGTTGGGCCGTCAGAGCCTCACCCACCCCCTGGAAATTCTGTCTCTTACGTTGAGCTTTCTTTGCTTTAAAACAAGAAAACAGCAGCAGACAAATTGGGAGGTGCTACAAGGGAGGTGGTGGAGCTGGGGGGGGGTGAGCTTGCAAGAAAACACCCCCATCCCTTCTGCCCACCCTGGGAAGGAAGCTTCAGACCCTGGCTGCCCCCGGGCTGAGCACAGCTGCCCGTTCTCCTGCCCCTGATGCTGGTCATCACCGCTTGGCTGCTCTCACGCCATGCATCGCTTCCCCCGCCGCTGCCCCCAGCGCTGCCTAGTGACGTGGTAAGAGAAATTCACTTCCTTCTCCACTGCATAAAGGTATCAAGTTTTATGATTGCAATAAAAACGCTTTTTGCTGGCTTTTCTCAGCCCTGTGTGTTGGAGGTTCTTCCCTGGGTGGGGAGGGCTGGCAGCACCGTCGGGCACGTAGGGGTGTGGGGCAGTGACCTGCCCGACCTGCTCTAATTGCCTTACCACAAACCCATTAAGCGCTGCCCTCGGCCTCCCCGTGGCTCAGCCTGCTGGGTCTCTCCTGCTCCGTGGGGGCTGGATCTCAATTTGTTTTGTCCCCTTTTGGAGGTTGGAAAGTGCACGTCCAGCAGGCTGTATGCACTGATTGGGTCTCATGGGACCCTAAAACTGTCCTACATCCATTTATTTTTGGTGCCTTCGTGATCTGGTGCTGATGCCTCTGTTCAGCAGTGCTCCTTTGCAGCCTTTCCTCCCCAGGGCTGGCCGTGGCTGCGCTGTGGTTTCTCACCTGGATGTCAGAGCTCATAGCTGTGACTTCTGGTCTTTCCTGCTGACGTTTGCAGGCCGGGTGCTGAGGGGATGTGTGTGGCTGGCAATGTGGGTGCTGCTCTTGCTGGCTGTGTTGGGGAGCCCGGTTTAGCACCCAGCTGTAGGGTGTGGGTTGAACAGTAGCATTAAAGGCTCAAGGTCCCCAGCTGTGCTGCTCAGATTCCCGTGCCAACACCTGGCTTCTTTGCAAACAGCCTTTGCATCATTGGCTGCAATCAATAATGTGTCTGCAGCAAATCCCCGTGCTGCAGCGGGTTCAAAGTTTGTGTTTAGAGAGAAGTGTTATGAGGCCTTTGAGAGTGAGCAGTGCAGTGGGCTGAGCTCCTTACACTGTGCTCCTGAAGCTGGGACCAGCAGCACCTGGTTTGGGAGCGTTGTATGTGTGCTGCTCTGGTGCTTCGGGCTGGAAGGAGCTGCAGTGAGGTGATCCCTGGGCTGGGGGTAGTGCTGTGGGCCTCCAGGCTCAGGTCAATGCTCCAGGACCCTCAGCTTGGCAACGTGAGGAGGAAGGCAGGGAGCTGCCCTGCCCTTTGCAGCGACTGCTCCTAGGCAGGATTTCCCCTTGAGCTTGGGTTTCTCTTCCTGCAATGCCTTCTGCTTTAATTATTAACCAGTGTCAGGCTGTGCCATGGCTTTGTGGCTGGAAATAAAGACTGGAGAGCAAAAAGACCAGGGGGACCTGGGGCTGCCACCTCCTGCCCTGGGGGGCAGATGACCCAGTGTCCCTTTCCTGTCTGTCTGTCTGCAGGGCTCTGCAGCAGCTTCTTTGAATGGTGGCATTGTGCTGCAAGTCATCACCGAGTGTTGGTGTATTTGTGTGCACACCCGTGTGCCTGAGCAGGGTCTGCAAGTGTGCTCATGGCTGCATGTGTGTGCAGTGTGTGTGTGCACGGCTGTAGGCCCTGTGTTTGCAGTGGGCAGCAAAGTCCCAGCGCTCTCTGTGTTCTCTGCACCTGGGCCCTCCCAACTCCATTTCCACAAGGCTAACACAGTCCTGCTGGCACAGGTGCCATCCTAGGGCAGACCTGGTGCTCACTCTCAGCTGTGCTTATCACGTGTCTGCTGCTCCCATTGCATTCCGGGGCAGTTGGGCACCGCAGGCTAAAAATAATGCTGGTAAAATAGATTGCTTCCTGCTGGCATGCAAAGCTGAGCCATGCCCTGCATCAGGGCTGGCCCTGTGCCACGGGCACCCACAGGCCCTGCGTGTGTGGGGACACGGGGTCCGATGGCATCACACAGGTTGGGATGCGTGGCTCAGTGCTGGCTCGACACCCTCCGCCTGCAGCCCTGACTCAGTTTTCCCACGGGGCCATCACGAATGGATGTGGGATGTGGCAACGTCAGCCCCACACAGAGAGGTGTCACAGGGGACAAACACCCAACACGGGGCTGAGGGCACCCGCTGCTCCCACCCTGTGCTGAGCAAAGGGCTGTGGTGGCTTCTGGTTGGGGGTTACGGTGACACTGAGCAGTGTGATGGTGGCACCTGGGGATTGTGTGGGTGGGAAGGGTGGAGGCCACCCCTGGAAATGCACGACCCCATCTCTGTGGCTCCTAGGATGCTTGGAGCCATGGAAAGCAGTCCCCATCTCCATGTGTGTCCCTATCCATGTCCCTGTCTCTATCAGTGACCCCATCCATGTCCCCATCCCTGCTGCTGTCTGTTCCTCCTTGGGACCGGCCCAGCTGCTTTGCCTTCACCTTCCTCCCCCATGCCCCACCTGGCACAGGGAGGTGGCAGTCAGCTGAGGCCCCTGGGCTCCTCCCCGGGGATGGGCACTGCTATAAAAGCACGGAACAGGTGAAGGGCAGCGCATAGGAGCTGGAAATCTGCAGGTGAGTCTGGAGGGACTTGGGCTGGGGGGTGAGACTGGGTTTGTGGGATCATCCCCCCCCCTCCACCTCAGGATGCTGCTACCAGGCAAGATCCTGCCTGGCTCCAGTGGTGCTTGGAGCAGAGGTTGGAGATGGGCGCTGATGTTTGGGTGATGTTTTTTGGGGCACAGAGGTGTGCAGGGCAGGGGGTGGAGGGAGCTGGTGGGGGGCTGAGAACAGCAAGAAGTAGTGATGGAGGGCTTTTGTCCACGGGGGTGTCGCCCATGGGGGCATCACCCGGCTGAGTTTGGGGAAACTAAAAGAGCCTCCGTGGGCTGCCTGGTGTAGCCAGCACATCACACCTGGAGCAGGGTGCTTGCTGGGATGCTCATGCTCATGCTCATGCCCCTCACGTGCCCCAGCTGCTGGGATGTGACAGAGGCAGTGGCCTCAGTGATGCAGTCCTGAGTCATGCCCCAGGCTGCAGGTGATGGCTGGGACACAGAGATAGAAGTAGAGCGAGCCCAGCTCTGTGGGTCCCTGAGGGGTGTTTGTGGCACTGCACCCAGCCCTAAAAAGCCCTGACCCTGTCCTCATCCCATCCCCATCCCATCCCCAGGCTCAGCACCAGCGATGGCAACGCTCTACCCCTCACTGGAGGACATGAAGGTCCACCAGGTCCTGCAGGTCAGTGTCTGTTCATCTGCACTATGGGGGTGATCAGACCCATTGGGTGCTCATGGTGAGCCCAGGACAGGGGCTGTGCCTCGAGCAAACCCCATCTCCCCCAGGCACAGGCAGCTGCTGGGATTGGCACCCCTGCCACCACGGTGCTCACTGAGAAGCCAAAGCTCCTGGAGAAGCCGAAGGTCACCTCTAGCACCGGTAATGTGGGGTGTGGTGCCAAGGGGCTGTTTGGGGTTGGGGTATGGGGGTGCCCATATGGTGGGGGCTCAGCTGAGGACCCCAGCAACTCGGTGTGTGGGTAGGGGATGAGGTGTGGGGTTTTCTTGGCTCATCCCATGGGTCTCTCCGTGTCCACAGTGCCCTCAGCACCACCCGCGCTGTACCCCAACCTGGCCGAGCTGGAGAATTACATGGGGCTGGCGCTCTCCAGCGAAGAGATCCAGAAAAGCCTCTTCCCAGATAACAGCACTGTAGGTTCAGGGCGGTGGGTCCCCTCCCGTAGCCGCATCCTGCCTGGGGAAGGGACGCAGCGTCCCTCGAGGGCTGATGTGTGTCCCCATGTCCCCGCTTATCCCCGGCCCCATTGCAGGCGCTGACTCCCATCGGGTCTCTGCCGGGACAGCTGGTTGCCCCACTGAGTGGGAACAATGCGGGGCTGCGGCGGGCGGAGATCAAACCAGGTGTGCGAGAGATCCACCTCTGCAAGGACGAGCGGGGCAAGACGGGGCTGCAGCTGAAATACATCGACAAGGTAGGGGTTGGGCTGGCGGGGGGCTGCGGTGCTCCGCTGCACAGCGTGGCAGGGCACGGAGCATCACTGCACGGCAGTGCATGGCACAAAGCTCAGCACTGCCACCTGGTCCTGGCGGCGGCCCTGCGCCATCGCTCCCCTCGCTGTGTCCACAGGGCATCTTTGTGCAGCTGGTGAAGGCCAACTCTCCGGCGGCGCTGGTGGGGCTGCGCTTTGGTGACCAGATCCTGCAAATCGATGGCAAGAACTGTGCAGGCTGGAGCAGCGACAAGGCGCAGCGGGCACTGAAGAAGGCATCCCCGGAGAAGATTGTCATGGTGGTGAGGGACAGGTGAGAGATGTCTGGTGGATGGGTGTGCAGTGCTGCTGTGTGCGGGGCTGGCGCTGACCCCACTGTCCCTACAGACCGTTCCAGCGCACTGTCACCATACACAAGGACAGCAACGGGCATGTGGGTGTCATGCTGAAGAAGGGGAAAATCGTGTCGCTGGTCAAGGACAGCTCTGCTGCCCGCAATGGGCTCCTGACACACCACTACATCTGCGAGGTCAATGGTCAGAACGTCATCGGCATGAAGGTATGGACACGGCTGTGTACCCACTGCTCTTCCCATGGCACAACTGCCTGGAGTGAGGGCACCCCTGCAGTTGGTACGGGGCTTTTGGGTGCAGATTGTAGACTTGGAGCCATGGGGCTGCTGCCCTGGGAGGTGTGGGGATTCCCACATTGCCCTGGATGTGAGGTGGGGATTTGTCATGGCATTTCATAATGTTTGCCCCTCCCTCCACAGGACAAACAGCTGATGGAGGTGCTGGCGGGCGCAGGGAATATCATCACTCTGACCATCATCCCTGCTGTCATCTATGAGCACATGGTGAAACGGTGAGATCTGTGCTCTCCCTATTCCCCATCTCCTATCACCCCCAGCCCCACAGTGCCCCCAGGGGACCCTGGGGCTCCCCCTGACCCCTTCCCCATATGCAGACTGTCATCGGGACAGATGAAGTCGTCCATGGACCACTCCATCCCCGACCTCTGATGCCATCCCTGCTGCTCTAACACCTGGGGGCAGACGCCAATGTGGGCACCCCCATGGCCAAGCCTGGAAGAGGGGAGGGAACTCAAAGGAAATGCTGGAGGTACCCCTTCAGCCCCCCCAAAAAGAACCCAGAGGAGCTACTGGCGCGACACCATCCCATGTCCCCCAGCTCTCAGCACACGGACCAGGGTTGGGGGATGTGCTCCTGCCCCCAGTGCCTCTCCTTGTCCCCCCGTGCCCTCCATATCCACCCCCAGGGCAGACGCCAAAGGCCGTCTCCAGCCAAGCAGACACAGACCCAGCGACGTTTATTACATCCACCGCAGTACAGGACAGCGGAAACGAGAGAAGAGAGGGGGGAGAGGTTTTACAGCTTTGTCAGGTTTTTTTTCTTTTTTTTCTTTTTTTTTTTTCCACTTCTGTATTTAAAAAATATATTATATAGATTTGTCTTTCAAATATAACGTTACATTTATTTCTTGGCTAAGCTTTGGATAGTCGGACAGACGCGTACACGGATCCACGAATACATTGCACGAGAGGTTATAGCCCAGGGCTGCTCGCTCCGACCGCTGCTCCCCAAACACTGCATGCAGTGCCAGCCCCCACCCCATGGATATGGGGGGCTGGGAGGGCACAGCGTCCTGTGGTGAGGGGGGGGGACACCGTTGCTTCAAGTCACAAGGAAGCTGCAGACATTCGCGGTGGGGGCCAGGACCCCTCGGTACACCCGGGGGCCGCCCCTGATGACCAATCTTTGCTGTCTTTGCTTTTCCAATAAAATAAATAA